CTTTGACAAAATGAACTTGAGTGTAATCAGTCGTTGTCTAGCGTGTTCAAGCATCCGCTGGAATTTCAAAAATGTCGAATGCTTCTGGGTTTTTCTGTGATTCGAGATATTCTGATATAAGTATCGTCCGCCACATTCACATTGGATGCTCTCTTTAAGTTTGTCGGCGTTTTTTCACGCCATGATTTAACTAGCTCTCGATTTCTCGACTTTCTATCCATCTCAGTGTTTCTTATGTTTTGTAATATATTATCACAATTATTTTTTGTTACCCTATATAGCGAGACCTCTCATCATGACAACACAACTAAACTTTGGTAAATATAAAGGAAAGACTATCGAAGAAGACTTTGCTGTAGATCGGAACTATTGTGTGTGGCTACTACCGCAAGAGATCCTGATCGGGCAGTCACTGGAGATTAAAGAGTTTCTAGAAGAAAGGCTGAAAGGCTCGGATATGACTATGACACTGAACTGGGGAAAATACCAAGGCAAGTCGATCAAATGGATTCGCGATTGCGATAAGGGATACTTCGATTGGCTACTGAAGAACAAATATGTGGAAGAAAACTGCCCTGCGCTGAGAAAAGCTCTTCTGGAACTGGAATAACGCAGCTGGATGTGCATTTGCAGAACGGCCGAGGTGGATGAAGTGACAAATTACCGCTGAATCTAGCCATTGAGACAACGCAACATATTTTAATCACCACAATCAAGTTGAGAACACCTGCAAGTGCTTGCTTAAGAACGCGACAAAGTAGAGAAAGTATGCTTCTCGGCGCGTGACACTTGAACAAAGCGCACCTGCTTTCATTCGCAGCTCCCATCGCTCGCGTTTCAAAGTCGGTTCCGCCCTTTGTGACTCAGCTCTGCGAAAAAGATCTTGATTGACGTCATTGCTTGTTCTGGCAAGAAGTACACTTGCAGTTGCTACTGCATATTTTGCTAAGTTTTTTGCACTTGCAACGATTGTCTTTGCAGCCCCCTTTACAAGTACACGAGTGATCTGGAATCAAATCACGTCGTCGAATCGCCATCCATAATTCGTTGTATACATTCTTCAACCAAACAATTCCAACACCTGCTTCTGTGTGAGCGAAGCCATCAGGTGCAATGAAAATCCCACTTGTCTTGAATTTGGTTCCCGCAATCGGCCGCCATACATCAAAGAACGGACTCATCAGAGAATGAGTACTGGCAATGGTCACATTAATCCCGACAATGTCTTTATCAGTGATCAGAATCATGTCAACACCACCATAATTGTAAATGTCCGGGTCCAGCAGCACCCACGATTGGTCAGTGCACTCACTCAATGCCTTTCGAAACGCCGTGGTCTCACTTCCAGGTTTGAAGTTGTGCCTCGCGATGGATCTTTCTTCCTTCGGATATTTGCCAATAATGCCGTCTCGATGAACGATAGCCTTGATAACTTCCTCTACAAGAAAGCCACAAATTGATCGATTTTCGGTGACGCATTTTAACCGTTCAGGCCACAATGTAAGAATCGCAGCATCGGCTGCTTTTTTTTTCAAACTTGATACAGTAAACGAGTGGGAATCTCTCCAATAGCAGAAAAGCCTTGATGTTCTTCATCGAAGTAGAAAAAGCGATGATCCACCACATCATCATCATCTGGATCCGATGAAGCAGGTGGGACTAAATGCGCAAACACGCCCCACAAAGCATTCGCATCGAACTTGGTGTAAAAGGTCTCGATACACTGCAAACAATTCTTGATGGCTTTATCACTCATGACCCTTTGAACAAGTTTTGGCCACGTATCGTTCTCACGATGAAGTCTTGCAAATCGAAAGAGGAACAACGGGACACAACCGGTCAGAGCCATCAATTCTTCCCTATGGTCTTTGAGCAGCTCAATGTTTTGATGTTCCATCCACACTTGAAATTCATTCTCATTAAAACCACCAGCAAGCAATATGGTGGTGCCAGTTTCCTGTTTGTAGTAGGTGTTCAGCCAAGCTGTCGAATTCAGCGACATATCGCGAATTGTAACCATCGCTGATATACCGAGACATCTAGAAAGGCGTGTTTGTGCAGCAATGCATGCTGCGTTGTCGTCGTCGTCTATCGAATTCCACTGATCAGCAACCACAATTGCCATACGACCAGCCAAAATGTCATACATGTCATCAGGAGTCATCGATGAGTGCAGACCTTCATATTCGTCTAAATCATTGAGCAAAAGGTTGAGCTTCATAACGCGCACAAGTTCATCTTCTCGAAGTAACACCCGACAATCAGGAATATAGATCACAACTGGACGGATCTCAATGGTTTTGTCACCTACACCGGCCGTTAGGACCAATTCGTCTCGATGCTTCAACAATAACAACACCAGAACAGCCAATATATGCGACTTTCCATAGCCAATTGTTCCACCAAACCTTACTGTAGTAGCCGTCCTATTCTGCCATAGCTTTCCAATTCTGTCATACAATGACACCAACTCTTGTCTCGCTTGATACTTGAAGCACCTATTTGCATCGAGTTGAAAATGATCGGGGATATCGTACAGTGAAGGAAACGGAACATCAAGGACGGAATTCAACTCTGCAAGATCCATGTCGAAGCCTTTAATCTGTTCCAATAACCCTTTTGCCGTTCCAAGAAGCAACGTGTCTCGCTCCACGCGAATCACTTTTTGCCTCTTCCTGAACCTTTCATTGTCCATGACTTGTGAGACAGGTCTCTGTAGTTGCTGAAGACGCTGCGTCGTCTCGTCGGGAGAGGGAACCACCACCAGCACGTGAACGGTCTTCTTCGTCGGAGCACC